TTTGATTGAAGTTGTTTTTGTGCCATGCTTTGATAAACATGAAATTTAATATACCCACAAGAGTCAACCACATCTACAGCTCGACATAGAATCTTGCATACAAAAAAGAGTAAGTTGAAAATGTGCCACTTACAAATCAAATTTGTTTGAGTCGAGGGAATATAAATTTAGAGACATGCTTAGTCATGTAATAGATTGATTACAAGAGGAACAACAGCTGTGACTGGCTGTGTTTAGAATTTCTCAATCTGATTACCTTGCTTTCCTCCCCATGGTCTCCATTCATTTCCGAGACACACTGGGGCACATGTATAGTAGATGAAGATTCCATGCCAACATTCTCACTGTCTTCTGATACTTTGCACCTCTTGGTCAGTGACTACAAAAATAAAATAAAAAATTAGAGACATTACAGAGCACCACAAGAGCTCACCACAAAAACCACAGATACACTGTCAAAATCACAATATGACGAATCATCTATTTTTTGCTCACCAGAGATTTTTGATTTGATCTTAAGACTCATGATCAGAAATCCAAAAGCAATGATCCTTAAACTGCGTAATGACATGGATATACAGTCACATTGTTCTCACAATGTGAGTTATTGACCAGTACAACACCAATAACAGCAATGGTGTTAGACTTAGACTGCTTAATGCTGAAGATTTATCTAAATATTCATGTTGCAACATCCTTTGTCAACAAGACCTAACCTTTTTTAATCTGACAATATGCACAAATATTTAGTGACTGCACGAAAAATGTTACCTGGGCCAGATGAATGAAAGCTCTGGGTATCACCTTTAGTTAGTTTTTCTTCTAAAACTATATTTAAAACTTAAGACCAGGTCCAAACATTTGACATTTGAGCCTTACTGTCAACTTTGAATTTAACAAGCACCCTGTCCAGAAGTTATCCAGAGAATTATCCACATGAAAGTATTCAATGATACTCAGAGTCTACATTTTTTATAGCTGTTTGTTACCTCTTTGTCAAGATAATTGGATATCATGTAGCTTGAGGAATCTTCTGCCTTTCTTTTTCTACCAGCTTTCCTGTTGGAGACTGTTTTCTTCTTTTGAGGGCTAGTTTCAACAGTGCCATTCAATTTCTTGTGACCTCTTGCACTTACCCGGCGTTCGGTGTGGGAAACCTATACATATATGTACATATAAACATAGTATCACACTTCTTTTTATTTGTGTATTTAAAGGTAATTTTCCTATCATGTTCCTCAAAAACAACTTTTTTTTCAATTTCTTGCTGGTTTAGCACTCTTCCAATCACTGACTGACACATATTTCCCAGTCAACTAACCATACTGCTTTCTATGTATGTGTGTGCAATTACAAACACATAAGAGGTTGGTCACTATGTACAGACCAAGTTACTCAAACTTAGACTTGTGAATATGAATTAGAGGGCAAAAAAATATAAATGTAGGATGATGAGCTTTATGAAAATAAAAAAAATGAAAAAACGAAAAAAAAAAAAAAAAAAGAGGACAGTGAGGAATTAATGGAAAAATCACTGGTCGTGTTGGATGTAGAACCATCAAAAATAGAGTCATTAAGGTAAGTCTAATAATTTGGAACACGATACAAAAATGGAATTGTTGGTTGACACAAGCATTGATATTCAATTGCCAAGCAAATTCACAGCATCCATTTCAGTAGAAACTTTACACATTGAAAGCAATGCACGAAATAGCATTTAGGAGCCCATACATTTCACATATATTTTTTTGATAGGGAAGATGCCCCAAGACCCCCCCAAAAAGCTCTCATGTCGCCAGCCATCTATTTCATGTACCTTGCCAAATACTCCACAACTTACAGATAACCCTGATCACTCTTTTAAATTTGAACAAATACCTAAAACAGTTATGGAAACACTAATTGAAAGAGGAAATATGTAAAAATAGAAGAATAAAAGTGCTTTAGATTTATTTTTAACACTACCATTTGCATGCCATCCTTCTCCTTGTTTCTTTTCTTTTCTAGCTTTTCTTGCTTCTTCTCTGCTTCCACTTTCTGCTTTTCCATTTTTTTCAGAAGAAAATCACAATAAATTTGTGACTTTTCCAACAAAAGCATTAGACGAAGCGTCCTTTTCTCGTCTTCAACACTCTCCCATTCTTGTTCAGCCTGGGTAAACATAAAAACCACAACCTTGTAACATCACTTTTCCTCTATCCTACACAATAAGGTATTTTGCAGTTATAGGAATGGAAGCTGGTTTCCCTCTGGGATAAAGCCAAACATTAAAAAAAACCCCTGAATATCAAGAACCACTTATTGTAGGTTTTCCCATAACCAATAAAAAACTACTGCCTTTTTTCAGAGAGATATTTCGTTGGAAAATCAACTTCCATGCAAGTTGGAAATAAGGTTTCATTCCAGAGGAATCTTCTTTTCAATTTCCAAAAAGTTATCTTGCCACTTGCATTATAAAAGATGCAAAACTTACTAACTAAAAGAAAAGATGGTGTATGCAGTTCTGGAAGATTATTGTACTGTAGATTGTTGAACAGATAATATAATTATAAAATCCAGGGCTGCTTTATTATGGCCTTTATTTGTTACTAAATAAATCAACAAATTATCAATCAATAGATTTGGAAACTGATGAAATGTAATTTCAAAACTACCTTAACTCTCAAATCTTGTTGTTCTTTGCTAGAAACCTCATGAAGAGCTTTCTCTTCTTCCTCCATGGCTGCAGTAACTTCACCCACATTTGAGTCCTCTGGTGTTGACAACGAGCCAACATTATTATTCTCCTGTAAACAAAATAAGACAATTTTTGAAAATTACATTTGATATATACAAGAGCTACATGTAAGACTTTCTTTAGTTCCTGTGCTGTATTTCAACTAGTTTGCAAGTAGTCTCAAATACAAAAAGGGGCAAGAAAAAATATACATATGCTTGCAAAGGAAAGGACTCAGCATATGTATTAATGTAAAATTTAAACAATTTTGGTATGGTATAGCTGTAAATGCAAGCTTTCTAGATTAATGTCATTATTGTCATATTTCAGACTTTCAGACAGAATAGCTTGGAAACTGTGACCTTATTGTATCACTCTATAATTTACTGATGTGGTAATTTCCTCTTATTACTGTTTAAATGCTCACTTGCCTAGAAATACAACACAATAGTTACAGTTTCATTTAGGAATAGAAATTGACAGATTAAAAGGATTGTACAGGAAAGAAAATTCAAAACAACAGGTTGTGTATTCAACAGATGTAGCTAGCTATAAAAAGTAATACTCTTAACCTCTTGACTTGTCATTGTTTCCTCGTGTCCATTACATTCAACTTGTATATCTCTGGAGACAGTTTCAATACCATTCCCTTTCCAATAGTTAACAAACTGCAATGTTAACCAATCAAAGTCATTGTTAAAACAACTGACTTGAACATTCTCCCAAATGTTACATGCAATTAAAACTATAAAGCTATCAATAATTCCTAAGCCTGTATACACTTACAATTGGAAGCATCATTCCTCTTTAAAATGTCTTAAATTATCTGCACTCATCTCACCCACAATTACAAAGTGATCGCCCCTCCATGTAGGGTTTTTAAAGATATTTTGCAGAAATTCTCAATTAGTGTTCGAACTCTAATCACTATTCAGATGCAAGTTCCTAATGCAGCACAACACTATATAACCCCACTGAATGAAACTTTTGACGGAATTAATCAATAGACATACCTAAGATTTCCATAAATCACTAGCTTCCTGAACTTCCTGTTGAAGATTCACAATTAAAACTTGAGCGAGTAGAGATTTACAACTAAATAGCCTCCTAAACTGAATTAATGCTGCCTACTTGCTGATCAGGAAATAGCAAAAGCTTAATGTCACAAAGTATTATAAAAGGATTGAGTAATTTTCGGCTCTAAAACAAGCACTATGTTGAAGAAAACAAGAATATGAACCGTAACATAACCTCTCTGAATTTTCCAGAACGTTCCCTGAAAGTTTATTAGTACATCCTACATTATCAACACTCCTTGAAAAATCCTAATCCATCTCTTCCCTTTGAACTTTAAGTCAAAGAGATATCTGGGGTCAATCAATCAAGGAATTAAGGTGGCTCTAATCCTATGCTACAGATTTCAATTTAACTTTGCAATGCTGAGGGATAAATCTTGATATGATGGTTCTTGGCTACATAAATATAAAGCTATTTTTCAGAGTGTTTTCGAATGGTTGTAGTGTGACTTTGGAAACCTCTAATGTCGAAAGAATATGCGCAGCTTGACAATAATCGTGTCTTTGTTCGAATCCACTTTCAATTAATATTTATCAACAACCATCGTACCATCAAAGAACGAGTATTTATATGCACTGAAACCGTTTTTAGTTACTATAAATGTGACAACGGATACAAACATCCTCCAGTAAGCGATGGTTCTTCCTTCGTGAAGGATTAAGGATTTAAACAAAGGGCAAGTGGCTACTCAATGGCTGTACATATAAACTGATGCATGCGGTACAAATCAAAGTATTATGTAACGCACAAGCTTACTTACCTTTGATAAAGCTGGATACATGTCACCTGGATTAGATTTAAGGCAGCATTCGAACAATAAATATGTGGTCTTGATGCTAGCAACAGAACTAAGGTTGCCAAACGAACCGAGTAGGCCAACCGAGCGAGGATGCGGGAACAAATGTGTACACGAGTGCAGGGCCTGACCGACCGGCACCAACATTCCCGCCAAAATTGTCACGTGGTATGCAGAGGGGGGTAGTGATCTTATATTGGCTAAGGTTATCTTTGAAAAGACGATCTATTATCAAGAAGACACCAACATTTTGTAATATACATATTCATGTAGCAGAATATTACTGAAAAGGGCTATTAAAAGCGATATCTTGATCCTGAAGAGTAAGAAATTGCTTTACCCTCCCCACTCCACACAAAACTGTAACGACCAGAGAACGGTACAGTGCAATTATATGAAGTGATATAAGAATGGTACAAAGATGGCGGACAAGGACAGTTCGAGTAAGGAGAATCCTTTCTCCTTTAAAACGTTTGTAAAATCGAAACAAGAAACTGAGACCACAACAAGTAAGATAAAAAAAGACAAACATAAATCAAAAAGTTCTCCCGCAAGTGTACGAAAGAGGGACAGCTCCACAGATGAACCGCCTTTTCCGGAAGTCAGCAGACAAGGTGAGCTTACAGGAAATGACTTGCATTGTTAAATATATCAAATTTAGAGTACTCTCTTACTTGAAAGGAATTGCTGATGTCATATTATATGAATTATTTACACTATAATAGTATTTGTGGCAACTTTCCGTAGAAATCAAGAGAAAGGTTTTATGCTCTGAATAGTTAGGAGACTGTTTTTTTTTCATGAGTACGTATGAATCAGTCACTTGGTTGATATCAAAAACGTAGTTTCGAATACGCCTAACATTTGGAATGTCTGACGACTCCAATGAGCTAA